CTCGATTTCTAGTGTTTACTGCAATATACAGAATTAATATTTACACTGTATCACAATATGAAATTACAAAATACTAGTTTTCGTAATATTTCTTCATCTGGATTACATATCAAAAATAAAGATTGTGGACCAAGCAAGAAGACTTTTTTTTCTAAAAAGTACAACAATCTACAACTTCAAAACGGTTGATTATAAGAACAAGTTATGCTTTACATACCAATATTTATCAATCCAATTCAAAAAACAACTTCCCCTAAAACTAAAGTATAGGTTTGTACACAACGTTCTGAAATAAACATTTAAAAAAATAACAAACATAAGATTGAAAAAATGGAGAAACAGAATGTCGTATATAAAATCAGTTGTACTCAATGCTCTAAAGCTTATATCAGTCAGACCCTAAGAAAACTTAAAGAGTATCTGTGCATCAAAGAAACATAAGATAACCTTTTCAAAAACTAAACTCGGTCTCGAGACATAAGTTTGAGACAAGACATATCATGGATATCGGGCAAAAAAATTTCTGGACCAGGAACCGCGGAAAGGCGCGATAATTCTATCAGAAACGTTACATATAAAGCTGAATAAAACTTTAAATACTATGATAAAATCCAATACCTTCACTGATGTTAACGACTTGATTTGGCGATTTAACAATCAAAATTCAAAATTCAAAATTCTTTGATAGTTGAAATACTTACTTGAATCAACCGTTTCCAGTGCCTTTTTTAAATAGACGGCTATCTGGAAGGAACAGCAGTATTACGCAAGCTCAAAATGTTAATATGTTTTTGTATAATATATTGTAAATAGTTTAGAATAGCTATAATTACATTTCAAATATATAATTACAAAAAAGGTAAGCGTCTGTCAAATTTTATAATATATAAAAGAAGGCCATTCATATGATACAACATTAGTAATTTAGGCCTACAACTGTTTCTAATCAATTTTTTTATATTTTTTAAATCTGATGTCTGAGGATGACTATGCGGTGTAGCCGAAACATCACGAAAACTACAATGTAGGAAAATGTATGTATAATAAATAAATCTGAATGTCAGAAATTTGAAAAGAGACTGTTTGTTTTAACATCCTAGTTTTCATTCAGACAATACTTCGAAATATCATCGACCAAAAAAGGAAGATTAGTATTACTGCAAGATAATGAAATCTGCGTCTGCTTTCACCTGCCGTTCATCCCGATATGCGAGATAGAATGAATAAATGAACAATATGTCGCACGCAGGATATTATTCAGCCAGACTGTTGGAATCCGCCTAGTCTTATTTTTTGTCGAATTTCAGTCATATCTTTGTTTGACATACGCATTTCAGGACCTCATTATAGTTGTAGTGCACATAATCACAAAACAGTAAGCCTTTTTTGAGTTCTGTTCATCACATTGCCATTCCAGCCATGTAATACCCCGGCAAACATGGTATTTTTTGCGCTTTTTCCGCGAACGACAACAAATTGCCACCCACGCAGCCGAGCGTATAGATTTCTTTCCCGCTGCCATTCATGAAATTCGAGACAGACGCGTTGTTTTGGCAGACAAGATGAGGACATGCCCGCTTTTCGCCTAGCCCTCTCCCGCTCTCCCCACCCCCCGCGCGCCCCAATCAGAATTCGGCTGTGACGCCCATGTTCTCGGGTACGACACCGCAAAGAATCGAGCGAAATGGAAATGCGCGGCAAAACAAGAAACAAAGAGTGCGCTGTCCGCCGCGGACGAAATCCACGCGTGGCAGTTGTTTATGCACCGCGTCATTTCCGTCCAGTGCTGCGGGGCAGGAAGGCGAAGCAGCGATGACAATGCGGCGCGGGTGGAAGTGCCACGCCGCGCGGAGGGACGGGGGTGGGGACGGGACTGAGGGTCAGGCGAGTGGTCGGGGGCCGGGGCGTGAGGACGAGGACGAGGACGGGGTGATGAGGGCGCTGGCCGCGCCGAAATCGCTCCGGGCGCTTGCGCGTTAATTGAATTGCGGGCGATGGGCCCGCTGTTTCGCTTAGTAGCGCGGAGAGTCGTGGCAGCCGCCGTGCCCCCCCCCCTGCTGCCCCCTTCTCCCGCTGCCGCAGCCACCAATTCCATCGCGGCCAGCTGCTCGGCGCCTCCGACTCGTAGTTAGGCTGGGCGAGGAAGATGTCGCCGCCTGGAAGAGCCATCGCTGGTGGCCAATTAGGGCCGTGCGTTTAATTTGTTTCAGATCAACTACTTGCAGAATGCAGAAACAAGATGAAACACGTGGAAATAAGTAATTGGCAATTACGCAGCAGTATAACATAAATATTAAAATTAATATGATTAATATTTTGAGGATTTTCATTTCAACATTGAACAACACACTAAACATAATTATAACAAATTTTAAAGAAATGTTAATGATTTTATTTCTAGTTTTCATACATTCATTACTTTAAATAACGGTTTTTGAAGAGGCACATCTACAAACGTCAGTGGCAAAACAATGTTTTTCTTCATTTTTAGTGTGGCAATAGTGTAGCACGTTTTGTCTATTCACAAGTAAAATGACACAAATGAAACATTTTTTTACTTTCTCGCCTTACTACGTACATAGTAGAGAAAAAGTTTTTTTAATGCTGCGGTAGAAATCCACGAGTTTTCAAAGAAAAAACGGGGCCAAAATATCGAAAAGGTGTATAAATCTTGTTCATGTTCGAAGTACACTATTTTCTACGATACGTTGTGTAGTCGGCTGTTCGGTCTTATGTCTCCTCCAGGAAGCGGTTGTCAATAACCGGATGTAAATTATTTCTATAAATTGGTTGGCCTAAAATTCGGAAGTTCTTGATCGCAATTCACAAGCTGCAACAATTTCACATGCGTTGGTGTTTCGTTTTTGCACTTCTGCTCTTTTGATGAAAGCAAGGAATGCACATTTGATCGAACAGCACTCACTACAAAGTTGTGGTATGCTTCAATCACAGGTTTCTACATCTTTCATTTCTTCTCTGGCATTTGTAGTTGTCCCTTGTCAGTGAGCTCCTTCCGGAGTTTCAATACGCTGGATACGGATATTCCAGTGAATTCTGCGTCTTGCTTAACCGGTAACGACGGATTCCTATGCAACAACGAATTAAATATCTTGAGAACGATGCGCTTTTCGCTACTTTGAATAAATTTTCCACATTTGTATTTAATTATTAAAGGCCACTCTCAAAAAAATTCTAAAACTAACTGAATAGTAGAGCCTCGCAGGCCGGTCGGCGGTCGTTCCCGCGGTCCCACGAGCCGCGTCCCAAACGTGCCTGACTACGTCGATCAGCACGATCCTGGACTGAACAGTCAGAGGCTCGTTATCTTATCACACAGCAACACTCAGTCAGTTCACAGTGGTCTCCTTTTCCGAAAAAGTTGCAATAGTTTTGACGCAAGGTTAATTTTACAAACGATGGAAGATAACTTGGTTTTTATACAGATAACTATTTACGTTGGCGTCAGGATACCTATAACTGCAGAGTTCACACCGCAAACCAATGAGATATTTTCTTAGGGTGAACGAATAATAGTGTCTAAACTGTTCAGATGATTTTCTCCAAAATTTATATTCCCGGCTCATCTAGACGAACTTGAGACCCTGCGAGTTTGAAACGGTTATTTTGAGAGTTGGAGGTCCTTTCCATGGAGCTTCGACGTTTTCCTTTTTCTTTTTTACCAAAAACGGCACCAATTTTTTTTATGAAACTTTGTCATCGGAACGCGCAAAGGAAACCTGAAAACCAGCGCAGATCTCATTATTGTTGATCTCTGAATTTTCGAATATTGTCATATTTCAAAGTTTTTGGCATGTTTTAACTACAATATTGGAGATATGTATTTTTTCTCTCATAAAATGTATCCTTAAAAGACAGGTCTTTAAATAAGAATGCAAACAATTTGAGTACAATTTGAGTAGTTGAGTAGCTTTCGCGCAATTTTGTTTACAGTGCAGTCAATTTTTAGAATTTATAAACAATTATTTTTTCAGAAAGGACGCGAACTTTTCTTTACATCTTCTCTTAGCCTGTGTCCAAGTACGACAAAAAATAGTTCTAATATATAATCTAAAACATTAGCTCATTGTAGAAGGCGAACAACATGTTAGTCATTGCGATATGATGAGGCGGTGGAAGTTTGTGCTCTTTTGGCGCGATAGGTCACGAAGGAGTTCGAGGATATCCGAAAGGCCAGCCTTCGTGAGACCCATCTACTAGTAGTAACTCCGCATTTATGCGTCTCGAGGTCATATGCACTGCATTTGAGTTGACGGCCCCGAAGGCCAAAACCAACCCTGCCTTGAAATCAATTAATCGGGAATCACAAAACGCAAAAACTAGAGGCAGACGTGGCACGTGATCATTGTATATTGTATCATTATCAATGAACAGATTAAGAAGTAATGAAAACAGTTTTTGTTTTTCACCAAATGTTTGGTGTAGCTTCCGCCTTGTAGTCTAATTGGCAGCTATGTCACTGATTATAAGCCCATCACTATCACACATGTGAGTGAACTACTGAAATTCACATATAATACATGTACATTAGTTAACAACACCTTGCCAGATTAAATTCGATACAAAAGTTTACGTCCCAAGTAAAATCTTTTCTGCTGCACAACTGTTTCTATACAATTAGAGACTATACTGAGCTTCCAAAAGGAAATGGCTGACATACTTGAGCCCGCCGGCTACCCTAGTACGATTTTTGTATGTGCACACATAATACGACTCCGAGGACCATTTTGATGTTCGAACAAGACGACTGTTATTAATGCCGCGAGTGGAGGTTTGGCTACCTAAGCCGGTGAAAGACAGATTCGAAAAATCCGAATGGATTATTAGAGTTGTAGAACAACCATCTAAGAAGTGGTTTCTCGAAGCCTCGAAAGAGGAAAGTGATACCAATAGAAAATTTCATATAGTGAATTTTGAGAACGTACGTGGTAATCTTGACGTAATATATCGTTGTAACTGTGAGTGTTGTTTGTGTGTTGCAGGGGCGTGGTGGGTGGCGCTTGCGTCGCCGCTGCTGGAGGGCCAGGGCCCGCTGCTGGAGGTGGAGCCCGCGCCGCGCCTCGAGTTCGCCAACTCCACCGGCGGCCGCCTGGACTGCGTGGCGCGCGGCAGCCCGCAGCCGCAGCTCAAGTGGCTGCTGGCGGACGGCGCGGCGGCCGGCGCCGTGCCGGGCCTGCGCCAGCTCGCGCCCAACGGCTCGCTGCTCTTCCCGGCCTTCGGCGCCGCCGACTTCCGGCCCGACGTGCACCGCGCCGTCTACCGCTGCCAGGCCGCCAACGCGCTCGGGCGCGTGCTCTCCAGGGACGTCAAAGTTCGCGCAGGTGAGTCGTCACACACTTTTCTGCAGTCATAATTAGCATTTTGCATCATGTGTGTTAGAATATTGTTATGCGTGTTAGAGTTTGAAATTTAAACAAATACACTCTAAAGAATTTTCCAAGCCCGACGTTATTGATAGATTTCGTTAAAAATGTTCTCAAAATTACATCTTTAATGAAAGTGATATACATTTAAAAAAAACTAGTATTTTTTCGGATAGCTTTTGCTGAAAAAATGAAATTTTTATTTTACTCCTCAAAAACTTCTAGAAAATTTTCGTTAAGTTCTTTTCCTCCAAGAAGAGGATAGTTAAAAACCGCGCAGGCCCTAATTTCGGCAATTATGAATTATCTAAAATTGCAAATAAAAAAATTAATGTATAAAAACTATAAAACTTGTGATAGAAGGTTACCTTTATGAAATCTGTTCTTTTGAACTAGATCTTAAAATAATGTAAATGCAATTTCTGAATTTTTTGAAAATGCAAATGTTTTACATTTTTTAAACCGTCGTAAAGATTTGATTTATCGATGATGCTGATGATGTATAAATGCCATGAATGGAGAGGCTGACACACTTTTGTAGATTCATGTAATATAGTTGTATTGCGTATCCGTTACAAATAATACGAGAAATTGTGAGCAGTTGTAGAATCACTACGTTTTTATAGATACTTTATGACGTGATTGCCGTCACGAAAACTATGTGTGATTAAACTTTTTTTCTGTATTATTGCAAAGTTCTTCATATAATTGTATTTAACACATAAACTGGATTTGCATTAAGTGGACATGAAAACTTGTTTATTGGCCGAACGTAATAAACACGAAAATAGTGCATTTAGAAACTTTGTTCTAACTAATTTCTTTTTGAAAGCTTTCTTTTGTGAGAGTAAGCAGAAAATATAATAAATAAGTGTACGGAGGATTTATTTCAATTTTCCACAGTCGTAAAAGCCAGTATTTCCGTAGAAGTTTGCTTTCATATCTCATTCCCGCTGAGGCCCCTTCTCGTTTCATGCGCACTCCCCCTCCACTCCCAGAAGCCAACGAAGGAAACGACTGCTGCCGCGCGGTTCACTTGCTCAGGCTGCAGGCTGCCGACCAACGACTGTGCTCAGCAAGCTGACAGCTAGAACTGCAAGATTTCTCGCTGACGGATGGAGAAAGAAATGGAATTAACCTATACAATAGCCAAAGTGGTTCAAGTTTTGAGAGAGATTCTAAAATAATTAGATTAAGGAAATAAATTAAAAGAAATGGCATTCTTAAAAGAAAGCTCACTGCAGAGATCGTCTCAGAAGTCACTGCCGATCAATCTTTTGTATCAACTTGTTGAAAATGTGTATGTTGCCGGCATTTTAAATGGTTATACCATTTTGTTCCGTATAAAGATTGTAATAACTTTCTTACTTTGAATGGAGAATTGTTGCATATCGATTTCTCCTCTACAGTTTCAAATCTCCATTTAAATATATTTACATTCTTAACCATTCTTCATCTTAAGGTTTCGTTGTGTATGTGTACTTTGGCATATCTCTTTTTGAGCTAAGCCCTATCAGCAGCGTCCCCGTCTTGCGGCCGTGGATTAAGGGGTACATGTGGTTAGCACAGAGCCAACCCTACGCTGCACATCTGGTCTTCTCATTCGGAGAAATGAGCTTTCTCGTCGTGGCACAGCAACAGATACTGGCACATTGCAAGGAATGCGCACAGTTAATTTTTGCCCCGCAAGGGAATCGAGCCCTGGGTTGCGCCGCGGAAAGCAAGTTGCTAACCAACGAGCCTCCGAAGGCTTCAGCTTTCCTATCTTTCCCAACATTGTTGTATGAAGGCTGTTTAAGTCTTATCGAGGGCGCAGAGTTGTATTTCGCGAGAGTGCGACACTGAAGAGCTAAGGAAGCGGGGCTTCCGGAAGTGTCAATCACAGACCACACGAGCCGCGGAGACATGGCAGACGAAACGTGACTCTCACAGACTAGACCAATGGGTTTGCGATTTGGCCATTTTGGCTAACATTTCATCTAAGAGATTACAACGTTTTGCTTTCAGAAATTTAATGTTGCTGGACTTCTTTGTACACTGTATTTGAAAATATATCGGGTTTACATCTAGTAAGGAATCAAATCAATTAACATGATCAGAGTGAACATTTTGGCCATTTAAATTATTGAGAGGTATTGAAACTAATTGTTATTGCAGAGCAGTGTAGAATTATGTTTACGAACTATGTTCTAAATAGTTTCTAAGTAAGGAATTATAGTGCATTTATGAAGAATCTATTATGATAAAATTAAGAAGTAAAATACCATTACTTTTTTATAAATAACATGGAAATATAATAAATACCAGTAACTTTAAAAAGTGTATACCATAATGTAATATAAAATAACAATATAAAAATGTTTTTAAAAATTTGTAGAAAACATTGTCTTGAAATGCCTGACACACAAATTGGCTTACACATCCGTACTGTGAGATCAGAAACGTAGTCGTTAAGAGTTTTAATAGTTATTGGCATAAAATAAAATAAAATAAACAAGGACGTACAAATATGCAATGAAGGTGGTTGTAATTATGAATCATCATGAATGACTGTAAGGTGTATATTAGTAACAGATTTGAAAAAATGTGAAAATAGGAATAAGGGGTAAAAAATTGTGAATTGTGGATTCTATTAATAGTCAAATGTACTGTGATATTTATTTTAAGTGTGCAAACCTCTTATTTTAATAATAATCTTCAACATCTACCCTCGTGAACTCTTAATAATTTCCGATACTCTGATCTTTACCATTTAAATTGTTTTTATTCATTATTGTATTAAAAAACAAGATACTGCCTAATACATTTCATTTTAAAGCAGTTGCTTTTTGTTTACGTTTCAAAACGATCAAAGCATTTATTTTGGATGTATTGCTTAAATTAGCTCCAAGAATCTATCATACTTTAAATAAATAAGTTCCGTTGTTTAATACAAATATTACATTGAATTTTAATAAATATTTGTAAATACTGAGAACATTTCGTTTGGAATATAAAACCCGATTTAAGTATTTTTATTTTCCCGCCTTACAAATACTTGGTAAGAAGTGAAAATTATGTAATCGTACCCCAGAAAACGGAAAACTTCCGCCAGAAAAACCGTTGCCTGGTTCTGGAAACGAAAAAGTGGATATATTCTCTTAATAAATTTAGAAAAAAATCCTCTAACACGTCATGTATCCAGAATCTATGTTTTGTTGATTCTTGATACCGAAAAATCGATTGATGGCAAAACGTCTGTCCATCTGTCTGTGGTCAACGCTAACGCCTAAACCGTTCCGCGATTTTCTTCAAAGTGGATATTCCCCAATTGATCTGTATGAACTCGTAGTTTTGGGATTTTCAAATTTTGATTGTTGCTTTTTTATTCATAAAGTTTATATTTACCTTTTTAAGTCTCTGTGTGAGTTCGATCCATAGAATGCTTGTATGGCTTAGTGTTATGAGTGCCGGCAAGTTAACTTTGAGGATCTGAGATCGGGTCTCGGACCGAAAAACAATTTTGCTTCTTGTAAACACATTTATGTAGTAGTAGAGTATTGCGGAGAATTTATAAACAATGCGAGAATGTATGTTCTTAGGCAGTACTACTAGTTTGCATTGATACTTTAAATTAAATACCGTTGTTAAACTATTCTTGAAGGATTTATACATTATGGAGTTGGCTACTTATTTTTCTAAATAGGGTTTAGATAGTGTTACCTAGTCCGGCACCCATTTATCTTCTCGGTCTACCAATATCCCTTCTGACTTCTGTTCTATAGTTCATAGCTATGAATGGAAGTCGAGTCGTCGGAAGTTGGCTACTTGCAATATTAAACTAAAAATGTTTGATTAAATTCGCGTTGAATTATAAAACATTGGTCAAGAAAAGTAAATTTTCGTTAATATACTCCAAAAAATATTTAATGAATAATAAAAATAGTCAATTTGTTAACAGTAAATCCCTCGCAATCTACGGACTTCAATTTCGCTAGACCAACTCTTTGGTACATTTAAAATGTAACCTTTGCCTTGCCATTAAACATCTTCAGTGGTAAGCAATATTAATTTACACATTAAAAGAACAAAACATTATGTGAGAATATGAAGTCCTAAAAAGTAGTTTATGCAATTAGTTGATGATGTTTAGCTTTATTGCATGAGTACATGTTTTGAAAGCGAGCGACTTTAAGAGTGAGTTTTCCAAGTTATACGAATGCAATAAAGCAACATTATAAACCAGTTGCGTACTTTATTTATTTGTATAACAGCATTACACATTTATAAGAGAATGAAACTTAATATTGCGAAACAACTTCCCTGTGACGACTCGGGTATTTGACAATATGCGAGTAAACGATGTTCGGCTGTTCCGTATAGCTGTACCTCCCCCTGATTCTCTCGCTACTATTGGCAGAATATGTGATGACGTAATCATTTGTGACATAAAATTTAATACGTCATCATTTTTGCCGTAAAATGCCCGATTATGAACGATTTCTTGCAACAGAAAAAGTTATTTTATAATGCTGGAATACAAAAAAATATAAAATACAACGCACTCAGAAACTTTTCATCAGTCTTTCGCGATTCATGAGGCAATCTAAACTCATTGAAACCTCTCGGCGTGAACTTGTGTTTATCTTGAACACTCCGAAGAATCCAACACTGTTTTCTAGAACTGTGTAATATACTATACATTACCATGCCATCCGTCTACTACCAAAATCTCTCTCGGGCATATTTCCACGGAATAAAAGGCTTTCAACGTGGGTTTCATGAAATAAACATAGGATGCACTGCGCCTAACAGCTGTTCGATGCCACCGTCCAGCCGCCCTGAATTCTGAACACAACTGGGCTTACAAAGCTACTACAAAAGAGTTCTCTACTGTTAGCTACTTTTTCCTGGAATCTTGATATCTCTCTCAATACTCATTGGTCTACCTCCATTATTCCAATCGTTCCTCTTTCTACATTTGGTCTGCAAGCCTGTAATGCTAGAATGAAAGATACTCGGAAGGGAATTTATGATTACTATGCGTGAATTAGATGTGGATCTGATAGGAATCATTTTAATTTCTATAAGGTTTATGCAAAGTGCACATTCTTTTAGAATGATTGTCTTATAAAAATTTATTCAAGAAAATTTTCCTCATAATTTCGTTCGTAGTAGTAGTGTAAGTAATGAAATTAATTACTAGCTAACATTCACATCACTATGCCCTTCAGATATCTTCGGAGCAAGCATAGTCTAATCTAGTGATTATCATTATCAATA